ACAGCAGACTCATTTTCTTCAGTTGCAGGAACCGCGTCTTTGTGCCCCCTGTGCATCCCGCCGCTGGGCTGCTGGGTCAGCTCCGGACGAGACCTCCCGACCCACCCTGGCTTTCCGCCCAGCAGGAACGAGAATCGTGGCTCTGACCGGACAGAGCTCCCCTCGTCCCCGAAAGTGAGAAACGCGCATTACAGCCAAGCGTGTCAGAGCTGAGTCTGCCCTAGAGACAGAACCTTCCACTGCTAACCACGCTGATGCCTCGAAGGGGATGATCTCGTGGTCTCCGGGCTGCACAGGACGGAAGGTTTCTCAGGATGTTCAAAGGGGTCCGAGGCCTCTTTCTACCCTTTGCTTTTGAAGTGTCATCTCAGTCCCGTCAGTCAAGCTCAGCTCTCCCGTTGCAAGCCATCACGGACGCGGGACACAGAGCAGTGGGACTGGAGGACAAGCCGCCTTCTCCGTTCCCCAGCGACCGTCCCGAGCTCCACTTCACACTGAACCCATCGTCTCCGGCCTCCAACCTCTGACCGGCCACTCTGTTCCACGCGGGACACCCGTATCCCCCGTCCTTGCTTCCATGCCTTTGTCCCCTGCCCGGGGCAGCTTCTCCCGCAGGCCTTGTTCTGGTGTTCCACAGGCCTGGTGGATGCTGAGGCAGCCGCCTTGCCCTCCTGTGCCGTCCGCTGCCTGCACGCTCCCTACTGACCTCGCAGGCAGGCCCTTGCCCATCCACTGGGGCCCTACAGGCCGGCCACGCCTGGTGACCCCTCCACCTGGCACTTGTCCGAAGCCACTGGGCCAGCAGCACAACCAGCACCCAGGCCATGCACCAGACCCTCAGCAAGGCTGGTGTGCGGGCGGCGGCCAGCTTGGCTGGAAATGACCGACCAGCCCGTGCCCTCCCTCCTGCCGTGGGTGAGTCAGCGAGCCCCCGCCCCGCTGGGACCACCCAGCTGTGCCCCCTCACCGCACAGCCCACCGGCTGCTCTGGCCGGATCCTCCCCACCTGGGTGGTGAGGGCTCCAAGAGCGACACCGGCCTGCGTCTGACGCTCTGACTCTGCATTTCAGGGAAGCGTGTGGGACCTCGTGACTCTCCAACTCTGTTCATTTCTTACAGGTGCCTTATGCCCCCACACATGAACACAAACTTCCTACCAAGTGGGCCCTTTCTAACATATCCAGGGTACCCCGCTTATTTTTCCCCGAAAAAGTACAACTTCTTTCCACAAGGGGTCCACCAGCCTGTCTCACCCTGAGTAAGAAAGCAGTGACCACAAGCAGGTTCTGGGCCACATGTGGCCCTGGACGCTTGCTGGCCCCAGGGGCGTGTCCCCCAGCGGGTGGCCCAGGGTGGACAGGACACGGTGGGAGTGTGCCACTCGTGCCGCAACAGGGTCTCCCTTCCCCCTGCTGAGACCAGGAGGTTTTGGATCCCTGTCGTAGGCGTGGCTGTTGGGGACCCCAGGAAGGCAAGCTGCTTCCCTCAGCCAGAGGAAGGCCAAGCCTGAGAGCTCCGTGCAGACGCCGAAGACACAATCCCACACGCAAAGCCTGATTGGGACTGATTTTGGATCCCAGCACCCAGCCGGTTCTCACCCTCTGTCCCCGGGGGCTCTGTGCCTCGGCCTTTCTCCTTGCTGGCCCTCCTGTGACCAGCCTCCCCTCCCTTCCAGCCCACCTAAGACCCACCCAAGGCCAGCCACTCCGTACGGCCTTATCTGGAGAGGGACTTGGCGCAGGGTCATGTCTCTGAAAGACCGGCTGGGCTCCGCCGGCAGGCTGCTGTCCCCGGGCGCTGACGTCAGCCCACAGCCTTCGCGGTGCGGTGCCCAGCAGAGAACCTGAGGAAGCCGGAAGCACCAACGCTCGCGCGAGAGCGGCAGCTTGGACGGCTGGACCGCGTGTGTGTCCCTGATGGGCTCGTCTCGTGGAGCCCGGCTGGACTCCCTTACGCTTCCCAAAATGAACACGGCCGCCCACTTGACGCAGACTCCAGGAGGCCGGGCAGCACGCCCCGTCGCGGGGGCTCTGGGGTCAAACGTCATGTGTACGGAGCACAGCTGTGCCGACCTCTCACTCTGCAGTCCGCATCCAACCCCCGAGACCCGCCCCTGAGGCCTCGGGGTCCAGGGATGAGCCCCGCGTGGGCGTCCACGACGGTGTCCAGAAGGGACGGCCTCGCTCTCCCGTGTGCAGACGCTGCGTAAACCACAACCAGGAAGCAACACGGCGGAGCGGAGACGCGCCGACTCCTACAGACGCCGCACGGGTAAAGGAGGACGGAGCCACAAGGACTCGGGGAAAGTCAGCACGACCCCGAATATGTTGTTTGAAATGGGATGAGCTGCCTCCCCAGCAAGATGACAGGAAGAATGGTGCCCAAAGGGCAAGTCATAGAGGCTCTGTTTGGACAAGAGTGAGCGGGGCCGACCCGAAGGCCCGAGGGAAACCACCGCCAATACAGCCGACCAGCCGCGACACGGTCAGCGAGCGAGTCGAGCCGCCACCTGGCAGAAGCCCGGCCCCGAAAACCCAGTGCCCAGGCACCAGGAGAGGGCGGTCCGCGCCGGAGCAGGTGATCTCCGGGGCAGGGCCGCGTACAAGGGCGCACCCTGCAGTGAGCTGCGGGAGCCGGGGGTTTGGGGTTTGGGCGTGGACAGCTGCAGAGGGGACGGCAAGCGTGCTTTCTAAAACATGACGCTACTGTATGTTCTCCGAAAGGAGAAATGCAAAAATTGATTAGAAACATGCTACTCGAGAATAACGTACCAAGGAAGTAAAGTCGGAAGGATTGCTCTGTTCTGCCCCATTCCACCAGAGGCCACGGTCAGCGAGACGCACAGGAACCGGACTCCCGGCCGTGATGCCCTGCAGTGCGTGCAGGTGGAACTGTGAACCCGGGCAGGGAGCGCTCACCAGTAACCCGTCCCGCCAGCGGCTGCTCTGCACCCGGGGACACAAAAGCTCCCCGTTGTGCAGTGCCCGCTGACTTCCCACGTTCACCGGTGCCTTGTGTTCGCACCGAGGTCGTGCACTCAGCAGGACGTCCAGGAAAGAATCACGGGACACGAGGAAGTGGCTCCAAAAGAGGAGAAGGGGCAGCACGCAGCCATCAGGACGGGCACAACGGACGTCTGGTTAGAACCAACGCGGTGTTCACGGCAAGCCTGGTCATGAGGTTTCGTACCACGTGCATGAGGTCAGCGAGCAAAACCCCTTGAAGCCCCATCAGTGGGCTGTGTCCCCTTCACTAGTCGGGAACCCACGAGGGCCTCGAGCGTGGTGCCAGGAGGCCCTGAGGGAGCGCACCGCAGCGACAGGGTCTGCAGGCAGCGACCCCAGCAGGTGCCCGGCACCCACGGCCCCCCCCACCCCTGAACAGGGCCTCCCTGACCGGGCCACTCGGTAGCTTGCGACAAGGTCTCTGTGGGAAGGAGGAAACAGGAAACCTGGCAAACAGGAAACCACAAAGAGTTCCTTTCCCTGAACACGCTCGGTGACCTCATGTCTCCTCCTGGCACTAGCGCCCTGGCGGCCCCGTATGCGGAGCAGGGCCACCTTGCGACCACTGAACCCTAATGGTCGTGAAGTCATTTTTCGTCCTTTTTCCTATGCAGCCTCAAGTGCATCCGGAACAGCCTGAAAGGACTCACAACATAAAAGAACCAATTTTCTGGAACTGTGCCCGTGTGTCGCCCATCGGCACCCTTGGCTCGCACCGCTCTGAGCTCACAAGGCTGTCGTGCTGCAAAGCCAGGTCTTCAGAAGGTGGAGGCCGGGACACCCAAACGTCCATCTGACGGTGGCCCCCCCCTTGGCATACGGCACTTTGGTAACAACACGGACACATTTAAAATGCCCAAGAAGCTGGATTTTGGGTGATTGACCTCGTTTTCCCGAGGAAGCAATGAAAGAGACAAAGGCTATGATCGGTGAGTGTGCGGTGCAGACATCCCCAAGACACGGCTGCCCTCCGTCTCAGCAGATCCCACCTGGAAAATGTTCCTTCCCAGCCCAGGGATGAACGGCCACTTGGAGAACAGCCGCGACAGTTCCCACCTGAAAAACCCCGTACCTGACTGGGGCTTAAATACGGCCGATTACCCCTTGTGCTGAGCAGCTCGGATGGGAGAGTGGACGCAGGAGGGGAGGAGAGCGGTCCGAGCCACCGACACCATCCGTCCTGTTTCCGGAGGCAGAGCGCTTGTGACCAAGTCTGTAGGCTCTGCTGGGGCCTCCAAGCTGGGGGAGTGACGCTGCCCAGCTTTGCCTAGTTACACCAGGCACTCTGGCCTCACCATGATGCGGGGCACGGACACGAAGCCTGGGGCTCTCCTCAGAGCGGAAACCGGTCAGCTTGCTGGAGGTACAACGTTGCAAGGAATTCACCCATAACCAAAATTACTGGCCTCTGGAATCATCACTTTCCCAGGAAGAGTTACTATTGGCACCAAGATATCCTACGGGTAACACTGAGCAACAACGAAAATGGGAGACCAGCGGCTCATCCCATGGGCTGAGCACTGGAGCCACCCCCCCTCCCGGGGCAAACAACGCTGGAGGGAGATGGCTCCCGGGTCTCCAGCCAGGCCAGCGGGAGTAACCGGGGCTCTAAAAGCAGAGCTGTGACGAAGTCCCTGTTTCTGTTAAGCGCTCCCTCCGGCACGGTCTTGGTCTCTGACGGACAGAAGCACACACTGCCCGGGATGCCGGGGACACCAGGAGCAACAGGTGGTCATTCTGTCCACTCGGGGGCCGGGGGCTGCCGCAGACCTGAGACCCTTGCTCGCCGGGCACAAGCCTCTGTCTCCGAGGGAGCCATGTGATCCCCGCCCTCCACCAGCAGCGGGCAGGCCTCATGACGACCACGAGGCCCCAGCCATGCCGGCCGCCCCGGCCGCCCCATCTGCCCGTTAGATGTTGGGGTGCTGGGGAGACTGTGCCTCTCCTCCATCCGGGTGTGCATGTCCACGCGGGGCTCTGTCGGCACGGCCTTACCTGTAGCCTGCACCACATCTGCCGCCGTCAGGTTCCGGACACTGGCGCTCACTCTGAAGGTCACGGCCGGTCCCAGAACACTGGAAGAGATGAGAGAGAGCTCAGAACCACCCCAGCATCCCGAGTGGCTTCTCTGCGGCCACGCGGAAAACACCCACACACTCAGAACACGTGTGAGGCCGCTGCCGTGGTGGGGGTGACCTCCGGCCCACGGTGGACTCTGCCCCTCAGTCGGTCCTCCCACCGACGCGCTGTGCTCTCGGAGCCAAGCCGCAGTGCCTGTGACAAGGAGCCACGCCGCAGTGCGTGTGACAAGTCCAATCGACCCCAACCCACCAACAAGGACGAGCAGAGCTTCTTGCAAAGGAAACTGTCACGGAGACGGAGTGAGAAGAGACGGTATTTCAAAACCTCTCTTGACAGGAACCATTTAAAAAACTTACCAAAGTCACTAAGAACTATTTAGTATAAAAATAACTAGCAGGGAATTGCCAGACAGGAATGATTAAAATTTTCAAAGCTTTTTAAATACTATGTTAGGTATAAGTTTGAAAAAATACATCACTCCTTAAATAATTTTATTCATCTAAAGAGAAGAGGGAAGCAAATCTAAATTATTTATCTAAAATAAATAATTTTATTCTTCTAAAGAAGTTGGAGGAGAATAGGAAGGGGGAGGGAAAGAAGGGGAAGAGGGAAGGGGGAGGGGAGGAAGCAGAGGAAACGGGGTGATAGGGAAGGGGGACAGGATGGGGAGGGGAGACTATGTGGACAGGGATGGGGAAGGGGTAAAGAAGAGGGAGGGAGAGGGGAGAAGGGAGAAGGGAGAAGGAACAGGGACAGGAAAGCGGGAGGGGAGAAGAGGGAGTGGGGAGGGAGAGGGAGCGGGGGACAGGGAAGAGGGACAGGAGGCAGAGGAGGGCAGGAGAGGGGAGGGCTCGTCTCCTAGCTGCTTGGCTGCCAGCTCCAGTTGCCGGGACTTCCCGTGGAAAGAGCGACCCCCCATTTGCTTCTCCGCTCTCCGTCTTGCGAACAAGGTGCACAGTCTGGAGCTGGCACCACAGAGGGCACAGAACATGCAGCTTGTAGGGAGGGCTGTGTCCCCTCCCCCAACCGACGCTGCTGTGCCTCTCGGGTCCCAGAGGTACTGCTGCCGCTGGCCGGACAGATGCCCTTCCCGGTGGTCACTGGGGGCTCCCGCCACTATCTGCAGCAGCTCTGCGTCCCATTGTCCTCCCTCGGCCCAGGACCTTTTCGCTATGCATGGATTCAACACCGGGAGCAGAACCACCGTGTGTCACCTGCTGGACCCCTCCTGTGTGGGCGGGGACGCCACCTAGCGTGTGCACCTGCTACATTCCAGCGCCGAGGAAACTCGGGACAGCAGGGCCGGCCACAGTCCCCCCAGGGGCGGCCACCCACCCGCTCTCTCTCAAGCTGCCCACCTGCCCCGCAGGACGCCAGCTGTCCGCAGTCCTAACCCGGCCCCAACCCAAGCTCCAGCCCTCCCGCCTGGTCTCCCACCGTCTGCTTGTGAAGGCGCTGGGAGTGAGAAAGGTGCCAGGAGCGGTACGTAAGCCCGGGGACGAGCAAAGAGCAAGGCCACGGTCAGCAAAAGCCACGTGAAGACAGAGGGGACCCCCAACACCTGGGAGAACCCAGCCGGGGCGAACTGCCCTGCCTCTCCCCACATCCCCGCTCGTGCTCCCGCCTTCTCCCAGTCGTCCACGCAGAGCCGAGCTGAGGCTCCCTATGATCTCCGCAGGGCCTGCTCTGGGCCTCGTGACCTCTGGGGCGCTCAGACAGGACCCGGGGTCCCCACTCTGGTTGGTGGCTCCCGGAGCGCTGGCTCCCGGAGCGCTGGCTCACCTCCCCGTGGTCTGGCCGCTGCACGAGGCCCCGCCGGGTTCGATCCTTGGCCGCTGCGGGGCCCCAGCATCGTTGTCGGATGTTTCCTGCGGAAGCCTCAGCACCGCCTCAGGCCCGAGGACACCTCCTCCAGGCAGCCCCTGGCCCTGCACCCATAGCTCTGTGCAGCAGCCACACATGGCCCAGGGGTTCCTGTTCCATCTCTTTGTACAGAAAATGTCGACATGGTCCTAAAGTTTGGCTGAAACTCCCTGAAAATGCCACCACGTTCATCCTCCATCTGGGTTCCTGCTGCCTGTGGCTGGAGCCACGTCCTGGCCTGACATGTCCCCAGGGGTGCCCTCCAGGCCTGCCCACTCCCTCCTGCCCACCAAGGCTAAGGGCCCCAGGTGGCTCTGCAGGCCTGTGTGAGACGCCACCGGCCAGACGGCCCCCCTTCTGCTCCTGCTGGAGGCTCTGTCCCCAGAGCGATAGCTGTCCCCACCTCACACAGGTTGGTTTTCCTGCCACCCGTCCCCCCAGCTCTACCGCCTCTCAGGGTCCCTCTTGGGCTGACCCCACCACTTGCGCTCTGACCACAGTGGACCCTCCCCCAAGCGGACCGTGAGCAGGACCAGGAGTGCACGGCACTCAGCGCACTGATGGTCCTGCAGGATGTCCGTGGCTTCCCGAGGGCAGCTGGCTCGGGGAGGGCGTGTAGGCTATTGGCCAGCGCCGCACACACGAGGTGGGTGGCAGGGTCACTACTGGGACGGAGTTGTGACACAGCGTGCCGCTGTCCTCTACGCCGAGAGGAGGTCCTCGTTAACACAACAGGCTTCACCTGCTGTTGAAGGGGCACCAGGACTTCGGGTCTCTGTGTGGTTCTGTAACGTTTCTCACTGAATCTAAACATCCAAGAACTCACAGGCAGATGGCACCTCCCTCAGGTGCCCAGGGTTTTCTCTAAAGACGCTGCAGGCTTTCCTGGGTTTTGCTCACCAGGTCATGGAGAAGACACAGCTCATCTACCACCCCGTCCCGTGCAGCCAGCAAGAGATGCTGTGACCCGGCCCGGCCAGCAGGGACACGTCTGACCCGGGACCGCGCCCGTGACCCGGCCCGGCCAGCAGGGACACGTCTGACCCGGGAACACGCCCGTGACCCGGCCCGGCCAGCAGGGACACGTCTGACCCGGGACCGCGCCCGTGACCCGGCCCGGCCAGCAGGGACACGTCTGACCCGGGACCGCGCCCGTGACCCGGCCCGGCCAGCAGGGACACGTCTGACCCGGGACCGCGCCCGTGACCCGGCCCGGCCAGCAGGGACACGTCTGACCCGGGACCACGCCCGTGACCCGGCCCGGCCAGCAGGGACACACGCTGGACCTGGGAACGCGCCCGTGACCCGGCCCAGCCAGCAGGGACACGCCGGACCTGGGACTGCGCCCGTGACCCGGCCCGGCCAGCAGGGACACGTCTGACCTGGGACCGCACCCGTGACCCGGCCCGGCCAGCAGGGACACGTCTGACCCGGGAACACGCCCGTGACCCGGCCCGGCCAGCAGGGACACACGCTGGACCTGGGAACGCGCC